TAATAGGTAGATCTAATTTCTCTACCTTGTTTTGACATCGATTAACATCTCAAAGTGCAAACGATTTTTATTAATTAACACCTTAGGTGCAAATGAAGTGTTAGCAATAACAAAGTATTAAACTGACCCCGAGCATATGACTAGCATTGAGTTTAGAGAGGGCTGCGTTTGCATGTATCTATTTATTGCAGCAGTCCCTTCCTATTGACCATGCACATCATCTATGGCTTCAGTTTACATGATTTAAGCCAGGCATACACTGGGCAACATGTTGCTATTTGGCATGTTATTATTGTTATACACTACCACAATCATTTATTAAATAACATAATTTAGTTTCAGCCCAAAGGCCTTCATCAGTTGTACAAAAATAAAAAACTAACAGTGCCAGAACACGTGGTAATGCCACTTTTCTATTATGATCCTCTTTAGTTTAACTTGGATATCGAATAGTTGCCTAGTGTATCTTATACAGTCAAGTTTATATTTAGATTTCTTAATGCATTTCAAGGGTTTTTCATATTTGTTTTTTTAAATTTTACTGAACAGTGAATACAGGAGGCAGTGGACAGCTATATTTTGTCCTTCACAAAAGAGGACCTACTCAACAACCACTCCTAAGGCACACAAGTACAATACATACATTACTACTAGTCAAGCAAATGGAGCCGCTTTAGCTATTGAAAATGCTACATTTGACAATAAAAAGGAACAACTGTAGATTTATGAATTTCTCATAATAATTATACACACTTTTGATATTTGTGTAATGTACATTTAATAAAATTACTTTTTACTATAGGCATGTGATCTATATAGCCTGGAAAGACAGTAATTGATATCATCATTATACTGTAGTTTGTTATTTGTTATAGCCTGATCTGTATCAACAAAATTCCCTATACTATAGTACAGGGTAATTCTTCATTTTACTGCAACAAGTTTGAGCACTAAGACATAATATTTAACAATGATAAATATATAAAATACACAGTCAATACAAACATTGCTATAATAATAATGACATGTGCTGTTAGTAAAGTCAAGAGTACATATTATGTACTCTTGGTAAAGTCAATAAAAATTATGCCATTGATTTGCTTTTTTCTGCATCAAGCCCATTATCAATTGTGTTCACTATTTTTAAAAATCACGTAATAATATCATGATTCATGCTGTGTCATATCATCCTTACTTCTCAAGTTGCCTTCAGTGGACTTCTTTTTAGAATCTCCACTAGCCTAATCACAAATATCATTTTAAAAATTTGCAGATAAAAACTGACTTTGCTTCGTGTCAGTGACCAATTAGCTAGCCTTTTCTTTAAGAGTTTAGCATAAGCTTCTCTGACCTTATTTGATAGGAAATACATTGGAAATTATTAACTACCAGTATAATATGAACTTACATTGCTTGAGAGTGGTACATATAATATGAATATAATGATACCCTGACCGGCAATAAAAATAGTCATAATGTAAGCGATGAAAAGAAGTCTTTGTGAAAAGAATAATACACTACCAATCCATCCTATCCCCATTATTATTGTCAATGATAATGCAGACTTAATCCAATGTCTAATAAAAAGATAATAAAATCAGAATGAACTCTTTAGATTTCTTTCACTAAGCTATCTAGATTTGAACTACAACTAAAATGAAACTTAAAAGTATTAATTTATTTGCTTAAACACCCTGTTATATGCTGTGTAGAAAAATTGCTGAAAGAGTGAGCTCTTAATGTCATGCCAACTGTCATAAAAAATGCCAACAAAATTATGCCTTACTGTGGTTTTATTCCTCGGCCCTGCTTTTTCTGTTGCCTTCTGATGATAACAAGAGACATTATGAAAAAACCAAAATTAGCCTGAAATATAATCAATAATTTATATCATTCCAGTTTACTTACTATGATAATTAGT